GCATTATCAGTAAGGAATAATGAGGAGCCACATTCTATATTCAGTGTTCATATACATGTGATCTATTGTTTAATCCTGGGTAAGACATTGTCCCACAATGTCAAAAGTACTGTTTCAAGAAAAAAAAAGTACTGTTTCATTTCTTTTAAAAAGATGTTTGTGATCTACAGAGATGGACCAGTGGTTAAAAGTACTGACTGCTCTTGCAGAGTTTGGTTCCCAGCATCTACATCTGGTGGCTCACAACCATTTGTAACTCCAGTTCCAGAGGCTCTGACTCTGGCCTCTGTGGGCACATGCACTCATATGCAAACATATGCATATACACTTACTTTAAAATAACAATAAATAAAAAATATAACGGTGTTTATAGCCTTATTAAGCCTCTATGTGATTATTTTATAAAGGCTATGGGACTGTGGGTGAGAGATTTGTCCCAACCATGGACCAGGCAGGATACAGGAAAATTTCCAACTACGCAGGCGAGAGGTCTGTATGTTTTAAAAGTCAGCTAGATGTGGTAGCATGATCTTATAATCCCAGCATTTGAGAGGCTGAGACAGGAGGATTGTCATGAGTAAAACGGCAGCTTTGGGCTGTAGTGTGAGATCCTATCTCAACAAATAAAAAGAAAACCAGAAGTTTTATGTCTACTGAAACAACTATACAGATTATGTGACATATATTGATTAACACATAAACTTGAAACTGTACCTTTAGCACATTTTGGGATCAGTCTTGGACCAAACTTAGCTATTCTTTTCTAGTCGTCCCAGAAGTTAAACATCTCTCGAGGGCACAGGTTAAGACGGGTTTCTTCTAGGTTTGTCCCCCAGGGCATGAGGACACCATGGAGAACTCAGCTACTTGACAAAGAGCAAGTAGGATTTCCATGGCTTCAATCCTACAGATTCAGGGATGTGAGCCCACCTCTGTGGCTTTTGGGGTATTTTAAGTGGAAAGAGAGCTCAACCTTACATTTTACCCATCTCAGATTTTACCAAAGGAGATCTGACCAGAAGAGCAGGATCCTTGCTCCATTTCTCTCCAGCCAAAATGCTCTGAAGAAGCTGGAAGACCAACTCCTAGCCTCTCCATCCCCAAAACTCTTTGCTTAATTTTGACTTTTGAATCAACCCCAAATGACTGTTCAATAATTCAAAAACTATAGGGTACCAAAAATGTAGCTCAATGGTTTTTCCCTAGCATATTCAAGGCCTTGGGTTTTAGCTCTACCAATATTTTTAAAGCATTTTTTTAATACCTGTAAGTACTATATCACAGGTAAATTATCCTTTCTCATAATGTCTGGTCTAAAGCGCCGCAAGGATCGTGCAGGCAGCAGACAGACACTGGAAATTAAACAGAGGCCTATCAGGGCGGCCGCAATTAAATTCAGCCTTGTGTTCACACTGTAGCCTGCCTTGCATTTCTTCAAGAAGTTTGTTTTTTACAGACATTTCAAACTGTCTCTGCCCAAAAGAGGGACAAGGGGGCTCAGTCCCTCAGAAGGGAAAGAGAAAGGATGTTCACCAGACCAGATGCCCACATACAGTCTCAGACTTAAGATTTACGTGTTTTCCTGGGAACCCAAAAGATTTTTCCAGACTCACATTAACAAATGGACTGTTATCATTACTTGAAAAAGAAAGAAATCATGAGTTTGTATTAACCAGCAACCACCCACCCACAGCATGTGGTATCAATTGAAAGGCTTCTGGGGATACAGTGTGGTCTCTGCATGTAGGTATAGCCACCTTTGACTTGAAATACATTTAGAACTGAAATGCTGAATATTTAGCAAATTCTGAAAATAGTAAAGAATCTTAGACTCCAGCCAGAGTGGAGGGTGGGGGGAGGGGGGGTAATAGCATGAAAGGGAAAAAAGTGGGAGAATTTAGGATCTTTTTTCCTTAAATGGACTCTTGGAAGTAAATGATAGTTACCTATTTGGAGCCAAGTGATTTTTCTAAGCTAAAACTTAAGTTTGTGAAATGCATGAAAGTGGTTGGTGGCTAAATTATTTGCACACAGAGTTGGCTTTTAATCCATCCTGTGAGTCAGTGTATATGGAAATATTGTGAGTTGATTTTATTTATTTGAAGAGATACAAACTGTGGAAAGTCAAAGTGGCAAGTTGAAAAACCTAACACTCTCATGCTCTATCAAATACACTTTTGAAGTAACTTCCCAGGAATTTCATTAGGGGTGTGACTCTGCAGCCTCTGAAAACTTTAGGGGGTCTTAGGAGTTGGCCTGCTCACAGAAGGTAGTCACTCATGCATGAATGTCATTCAAAACAGCAGCTAAGTTTAAGGGATAAAAAAACAGAAAGCCAAGACAGACACCTACACAAACAATTGTGCGTGTGTGTGTGTGTGTGTGTGTGTGTGTGTGTGTGTGATAGTTCATAAAGTTACCACACAAATTTCACTTGCAAACTTAGATGACCCAAAAAGACAACCACAGACTCAGACAGAACTGAATTGAGAACAGAACACACAGCAGTTCTGGCCTTCCCTAAAATTTCCGTATAGGTTTGCACAGAATCAATAAATAAGGAAATGGGAAGCTTGACAGATGAGTGAGCCCTTTCCCATGATTTTAAAGACTAAAAAGACAACACTCAACAGGGATTGTGAGAGAAGAAACTGCCTTGGGCAAGGAAGCTGAGGCGGGCCTCCACAGCCTCCCCCTCCATCTCCCACCACCAGAATCCTCTGGTCTTACTCCATTTCCTAATTCTGTGGACTGCACTGCTGAGCTGTTTATTAAAACAGTGTACAATGAAAACATTCCATTTCTCTCTTCTATGAACCCCCGTAATTTTCTCCCTCCTCCTGGACAGAGGCCACTAGGACAGGAAAGCATCAGGAAAAAAAAAATTAAAAAGCAGAGCGGTGAAAACAAAGAAAACAACAGGCAGCCCTGGCTTTGACAATGCCGTCCCTGGGTCCCCTTCCCACGCCTGCTGGGACACTGGCATTCAAGAGCAAGGGTGACTGCCATCTGAGGCATGGACAATGGATGGAGAAACACAAGGCAGAGGGAGAAGGAAACCGGATGAATTCTGAGCTAAGATGCAGGGCTCTCACCTCGTCCAGGTTATTATTAGTATTATTATTATTATGCGAATAGTCTGGATGGAGGCGTCTCACAGAGAAGAGAAAAAAAAGGTGTCTTGAATTGTGGAATGGTTCTGAAGGTTTCTGCATTTGCAAATGCATTTAGAACTATTTGCAGGGTTATGCCCTTGCTCTCTAGCCTCTAGCTCGCTCTCTCTCTCTCTCTCTCTCTCTCTCTCTCTCTCTCTCTCTCTCTGTCTCTCTGTCTCTCTCCCTCCCTCCCTCTCTCCTTCTCCCTCTTTCTCTCTCTCCTGTTTTATGCCCTACACCCTCCATCACACCTCTCTGTTGGTATGGAGAACGACCTTCTGCCTGTGGAAGTGAGCCTGGTTGTTCCTTAGTATTTGCATCAAGGCACACACATCTGCATGCATTTCTGACCTAAGGAGCCCATCACAGTGACTGCAAATATCAATTAGTCAACAATCGCTGAGGCTTTCAACGCCTGCGAAGGAACAAAGGTGGAAAGACATGCATATATCCCCGCAGCTGGATCACACAACTCACAGACTGTACAAAGCAGCGCCTCGCTCTGTTTTCCCTCCTGCTTACCCCTTAAATCTATGTCCTACTCTGGTTATTAACAAACCCAGCCGAGTAATTAGCTGTGGTGCATCCACAACCACGTGTGTTTCTTGGGCATCATTGGAATAAGATGTGTTAAGCAAATGCCTTGAGACAAATGCCAGTTTACAGCATATTTGATCCCTTATTCCCTTCTAACCAGCTCTCACGGAGAACTAAAAGTAACTGTGTGGCTAACGTTCTTTGTCTGTCTCGGTGGTTTCTATGAAAGAAGCTAAGGAAATTGAGCAGAGGAGAAAAGCAAGAGAAAACATTCAGCTGCAGAAAAGCATCCTGGGAGGTTCATTCTCCTCCACAGAGGAAAGCACTTCAGGATTTACAGTCAGCCTAGATTTTGGCTAACGGGTGTGTTTGTTTTGGGGAGGGGTGTGCGTGTTGGGGTGTTTAGTTGCTCATGGAGAGTAACAGCTTATGTTGGACATGCCTGCCTTAGCTTGTGCTCGATGGATTCTGAGCTCACTCCTCGTCTGAAATAAAATAAGGAATTCTTTTATCTCATTTTTACAGAAACCTCCACAAAACCTGTGGAAAAACAAGGCATTGCCTTCAGTGGCGAAGGACACAGAAATACCGCTAACATGGAAACAGGGAAGAGAGACTAAGGGGCAAACGCTCTCCCTCACTTTCAAATTTCCAGAGAAATGGTGTAGCCTGGAGCTGAGTTTGTATGTGTGCTTTGTACCCCTCCTTGCTCAAACATGGAAAATGGGATTTCTTTCACTAAAGCGTCTTGTTAGAATTAAAATCATTTCAAACCAGACACAAAATATCTTGATGTTCTCTGACTCTGCAAAGGAGACAGCAGTCTCACCTGGAGACCTTTTTTTTTGCAGCCGGGTTGGAACAGAGGTACAGGCAGCCGCACAGCATCCTCTGTGGTCCATCTACTCTGATCTCTTTTCTTGAGATGATCACTCTAAAGAGTCCTTTCTGTTTTCTCTCTTCTCCAGCACAATAGCTCAACAATAATTTCCCCCCTTTTAACATGGGAGGTAGCCACAGAAACTAAGAAATTTGGAGCTGACATTCAAAGAGAGACCCCCAAACAACAGATCATTAAAAAACTGTTTACAGAGACAGGAATGAGAGTCTAGCAAGCTTTCCTAATGAGAGGAAGTGCTACAAATCCGGGAGAGAGATTCAGATCAGAAGAGATCAAGGGTAGAGAAGGGCTGAGGAACCCCCTCAAACCCTGGGCACTTAGAGGAAAAAAAAAAAAAAACAACTAACCAACTAACAAGGTTGAGGAGGAGAAAGGAAATGTGCAGAATAGCTAGCGAGGTGACCCACCGTCCTGCGTGCGCCTTGACTCTTGCCGAGGGGAGTAACAGCCACAGCAGTGACATCGGAGTTCTAGCGGGTCAGGTGCCACCTCTGCCCAGCGCTCTCGCCCTCCCCAGCAGGACAGAAAACCATGCCCGAGACAGAGAAGGAGCAAGCTGGCGCCACCGCCAAGTCACAGACCCCCATCAGCACCGGCTGGTCTCTGAAAGCCTTGGATCAAGGGTCCCATTCAAAGGCAACGAGGAAGCAGACAGTAGCAAATCAGACCCTGGCGGGCCTTCTGGAATAATTTAACTCCTCGCTCCAGCATTTAGATGGAGGTAGCGAGAAACACAGGCGAGAGAGAGCTCCTTCACACCGAGGCGCGAGCATATGCCTGCGTCTCGGTGGATGTATTTTTAGACACGCTGTCATGGGCAAGGCAGCCTGCGACAGCTTTTGCTTCCCAACGTGGGTGCCGCCTTCTCCACAGCCTGAAAGCAGCCGAGGGAGTCCAGGGTAGCGATGCACATCTCTCGGCAAGCCAAAGGTCAGGCAGGAGGACACCATCCCCCCACCCACCCCCACAAAAAAACGTAAGCCATTGTCCCTGTGCTCAGAAAGCGTTCAAAACATTTTCAAGATGTGTTCTAGAAGGAGGTCGTGCTCTGTGGCCGTGTATGCACTTCCTGTCTTTACGGGCTGAAAGCCCTAGCAGGATTCAGACACACCTTGAGGAAGAAAATTCCAGCACACGCCCGCCATAAGGGTAAAAACACTAGGCGGGACATGTTATTTATAACATGTACTAAACCTGTAAATTCATCTGAACTGTAGAACTGCATTATTCTAGAAGAGCAAGAAATGAATGATTCTCTGGCTGATTCAAATGTGCTGTTAAATTCTGGTTCTCTAACCTGAAATATCTGAATAATAAACTCTCGTCTCATTAAAATGTAATAAACTACCACACAAACACCTGGGCATTGCTTTGTGAACTAAAGTAACAAGGTGGATGTGTTCTTATCTGAACTGGAGATTCCTCCCCCCCACTGAGATATTTTAGAAGACTCCTTTTTATGAAATATGTATATAAAATTCTCAAGTTAATTGGAATTTATGGGAGAAATGTATGGAAGAGTAGGTTAAGCAATCAAAATAGCAAGATAACCATAAACAAAATCTCTAACTGCATACCGGTCTCCCTCAGGTTTCATACATTCCTAGAACGAGGATGGAGCAAATGGAAATGAAAGAGAGCAACCTTGTGACATGTAATGCTGCAAAGAAAATTGCTTAAGACATGAACAAAATGTCTGCCTTCCACATTTGGGAATTTGATTTGGGTTTTTTTTTTTTTTCCTTCACTGTCATATGTAGGTAATCAATAAAGAGCGTTGTACAGAATGGGTTACTCCCAACTCCACCGAGAAGCACTCTGAGTTTTGATTTTCCTTTAAGAGCAGAGGCAGTGTACGATTTCACATTGTAAATCTCACAAGGCCTGAATAAAGCTCTTGCGAGGGTTGACAAAGAAAGAATAATTCACGTCAGACCAAAGAGCTCCTTTCAGACAGATCTGGGCCCAAATACACGTAGAATCCAGAGTTCAACTCTCCATCACACTTTCCAGGTCTTTCAATTAATGACAGTGCAACCAGATCGATAGAATGTAATAAGAAAAGAGCTTTGCATTTCTGTAGCTATTAATTCGCTGAGTAACTCCAGCTGTAAAACGTGACTGGAAAGGAAAAACACTTAGGAAGATGAATGCTCTTAGCACACCAGGCAGTGTCTCCCCAACCCAAAAATGAGCCCTGCAGCTTCTCCCTTCCAACCAGTGCTGCTAGGATCAATTGAGGAGCTTGTCCTATCAAGACTGAGCCTACCCTTTCATCACAAGACACTGCAACACACTAACACCACCGGATTGAGCAAATGGGTCTTTGCTCAGGATTTCCGTGCAAATAGCTGTGGTGTGCTAGATGCAGCATGCATGAGTGGGGAAGGGTGGCCATTGTTCTCTGCCTAGGAAGGCGACCCTGAATCACCAGATAGATCCCTGATCTTGGTTTTCGGTGACAATCTGCAGAGAGCAAAGGCTGGAGAAAGTACAGACTAATGAGAATGCTGACTGAGCTCTGCCACAATCCAGACGATCACAAACAGGGAGGGATGCACCAGGGCAGCACTGTGTCTGCCTGATCCATAGTTATCACCAGAGACAGGCCTAAGAGCAAAGAGAGCATTCTCTGTGCCAGGGCACCAAAGAACTGGTCTAAGGTGCCCTGTAATCCTGGCTTTTGGACTTTTAATGCCACTGGGGCTTCAAAAATATTCAAAATATTAGGATTCATGAAAAGCACAATCCTTCTGCTAGTCTTCCCCAGGATTGAGAACCCTAAATGTCTATCCAATACCAAGTGGTCTTCCCTAAAAGCATATACACACGCAACACCAAATGGACTGAGTAGGTTGTTCATGCTTATATATTTATTTGTGCACACACATGCATATGTAATAATAACAATTACAGAAAAAGAGACTATGCCTTTGAGTGGGAATGGGAGAAATATGACAGGAGCTGAAGAGAGAAGAGGAAAGGAGATGATGTAATTGTATTTTAATTTTAAAAAATCAGATATCTTAAAAAAAATAGTCGTACCATAATGATTAAATGAGATAATGTGCATAGAAAAGTCTATACAATGCTCAGCACTATAACTGAAAAAAAAGTCATACTATTTTTTACACAAACTGGTAATCTTTTTTTTGATTGAGCATGATATTCAGTGTAAGACATTGCATAAAGGGTGGCTGCAATGACCCAGGACCAGTGGAATTTTTTATATCCACAAGGCAACAGCAATCCTTTCTACTGGGAAGGATGTAACTGCTGAACCAGTGTCCCAATGGCCCCAGTCTTAGTATTGACATCCTCTGAAGGTAGAAAACACTAAAAATGTAAAGTGCCAAGATGAAAATGCAAGAAAGAACCCTAACAAAGTGTGAGAAACATGTTACCTATGTCTGCAGAGAAAAAGGAGTAGACCCAATTACTCAGTCAATGTGTTTTTCATCTCTCAGTAAATAATTAACAAAGAACTGTCTAGGTGGTTTAGGTGGGAGAAATACTTTTGCCATCTAAAATCTTAGAATCTAAAGAAGACAAACTCTAAATCAGATGATTATAATGACAAATTGTTAAGTGAAAAAATGCGACCGGTTTCCTGACAGTGGTTTATAGGAAGCCGGGTTAAACATCTGCAGTATGAAAAGTGTTCTCTCTTCTCTTTTGCATAGGTATGTGTCTGGGGTGTGAATGCGTGTGTGTGCTCACGTGTGTGGACACACGTGTATGTGTGTCAGTGCGTGTTCTCATGGGTGAGGATGGAGGGGTAAGGTTGATCCTGGGCATCTTCCTAGATTGCTCTCCATCTCCTGTAGGGAGGCGGAGTCTCCCACTGAACCTTGTGCTCTCTGATTTGACTAGTCAAGCTAGCCACCTCCCCCAGGGAAGTTTTGTCCCTACTTCCTGCATCCTGGGATTAGAAGCGGTGCTCGGTGCTCCGAAGTCCACTCAGCTTTCACGGGGTGTTGGGTCTCCAAACACCAGTGCTCACGTTTACACAACAAGCAGTTCACCCACTGAGCCCTCTCTGCAACCCCAGAAGCAGTTTTTTAAAACATTCTCGGGCTGGAGAGATGGCTCAGAGGGCTGGAGAGATGGCTCAGAGGTTAAGAGCACTGACTATTCTTCCAGAGGTCCTGAGTTCAGTTCCCAGCAACCACATGGTGGCTCACAACCATCTGTAATGAGATCTGGTGCCCTCTTCTGGCCTGTAGGCATACATGCAGGCAGAACACTGTATACACAATAAATAAATAAATCTTTAAAAAAAAAAAAAACATTCTCTTTGTTACTTAGTCATGATAATCCTGAAGCAATGAAATGAGACCATGGATAAGAGAACTGAAAAGAATTGCTACAGAATGTCAAGCTTTCTTAAGACATCAAGCTCCGGGGCTGGAGCGGTGGCTCAGCAGTTGGGAGTGTGCACTGCTCTTCCAGTGGACCTCAGTTCAACTCCCAGTGCCCACGTCAGGCAGCTCATGACTGCCTGGAACTCCAGCTCCAGGAGATCAGAAGCCCCTTTCCCTGCAGGCGCCTGCACTTACGTGCACATACCCACATACATAGACACAATTTAAAATAAAATAAATCTTTAAAAATACCATCAAGTCAATGAACTATGTGCGCTCAACAGAGTATTTGGAGACTTGGTAGAAACCACAAACAAACAAAACAACCTACTTTTGGAGGTATAGTAAACAAAAGAGTGCCATCTGCTCTCATTAGAAGAAAATCACAGCAGTTGCAACTTCAGGAACACTCATTCTGCGTGGACAATCTAGAGAGTGTGAAGGATTTCATTTCAAAAACTATTTCATCCTCACAACACCCTCAAAGGTGCAAGTGGTAGTGTTATCACTAGTGTTTGTTAGATAAAGATCTGAAGCACAGAGAAGTCAACTGACTTGCTCTAGGACACAAAGCCAGTGCATAATAGAGCCAAAGTCATACCCAGACAAGTTGATACGAGAATCTGTGCTCTCTTTTTCTCCTTAGATTTTCATCGGCCTGAACTTCAGAACAAAATAGGACCAAATGCCTAGCAAGCAAACTGTGAGAGAAAAAAAGGACCCATCTGCAGAATTGAGTAAAGTTACAGCCAGAAACAAAAGGGAACAGAGAGACTTCATTCATTTGTGGAGGGAGCACAGCTCTGACATGGACTGAGTCCCTACCCCAGGGAAGCTTAAAGGCCTGATCTCAACACACAGGAGGCAGAGGTTCTGCTGGGAAAACGGGAGTTGAAATCAGAATTTCCTTTTTCTATTAAAAATAGCTTTTAAGACAGTAGATGATGGAAGAGATAGCTGGATCCAGATTGCCACAAGAACACATCTCAACAATATTTGTATCGGGTTTCACGATAACTATTCTTCTAATTTTTGCCTATGGACAGTGCCTGGGTAACCAGGCAGAGTGACTCACACTTGTAGTTCTAGCACCCCAAGGCAGTTAGGAGGAGCACTGTGTGACCAAGGCCAGCCTGAACCTACATAGTGAGTTCCAGGAGAGTCTAGAGTATATAACAAGACTTGTCTCCATTGGCAAAAGAATGGAAGCACCTGGGGATGGTTTACAGGTTCTGCAGCCTGTGTAACCCTCCAGGACCCACCTCCCAGACCCCTGGAGACACACGCAGTGTGCTTTTCAACATCAAAAGTGTGTATTAGCCCAGACACCATAAGAGGAAGGAAGGCGTTGCCCTTCTTCTCTTGGCACCAAATGTTTAAGGGAAACTAAAACAGAAAATTCAGGAGTAATTCAGTAAGGCAGGTGCTCACACTTTAACGACACCCATTACTTTTCTGAGTTTAATAACACAAAATTGTCACCAAAAAAAAAAAAAAAAAATAGGGGGAAAGTTACAAAAGCCACACAGATGATAATTACATCATCTGTAATAATAGCTACAGACAGGCATTTGGGTTGAATCCCTCCTCATCCTTTGCACGTACAGATGTTTACCCACATACCTATATACATTGTTATGATGTGTGGATCACAGCAGCTACAGTTTATCTTCCTACCCTCTCACCTAATAGCCAAGTAAAGTTCAAACACATGTTAAAAACAACAGAATAGTCTACTTGATAAATATGACTTATT